TGAGTCCCGCAGACTGATGACAGAGAGCCCCTCAGGTTAGTCGAACTTTATGACTGGTATAAACAATCCAAAAGACTCCAATCGAATTCGTGGAAAACACTGACAGAGGGCTTTTGCGAGTTGGTCGAACTTTGCTTGACATAAAACAATCCAAGTACAATATAAAATGATATAAAACAATCTAAAACAACAATCCAAAAAGAGGACTCTAATCCCGGTGAGCAGCGGCAGCCAGACGTGCCTGCGTACGCCCCCCAGATTAACTTAAATGTCCTAGTAGGTAGCCTATGACTCTCAGGACACGCCTCGCACTCCGTAGTGTTGTGATACGTCATATTCACGTAGCAGCTGCAGCAGTGGTGATGAGAGAACGCGCTTGAGCAACAGTTCAGAAAGGAGAAATCAATCTAGTCGACCTGGACGCGTGAATGAGGCGAAATCGCGTCCATCGCACCGCGCTAAACGCGTCTCGCGCCGCACCTCCAGACCTGCGTCAACGCGTCTTTACATTGACTTCATGGAAATCACTCGCTACAGACGCTCAATTTTGCGTTCGGTGTGAACGCAGCAGTTACATAATAAAATATTGGTCACAAATGATTGGTCACTTTCTAAATATTAAAAGTATAGCGCATCTACTAATAATTATATAAGAATAAATCGTTTTTTTTACCGATGCAGATGTTAGAAACGATGCATCGCGATACAAATGCCAACTTGTATCCGATGCACACTTATTTAAATCGATGCATCGCATCGTTAGCTTTTATGCCGATGCACCGATGCGAATCGGTGAATCTTACCATCCCTAGTATATATATATCATTTTTTTATATATAAATAACATATTTTTTTTAATTATATACATGCATGAGTGTGTATTTATATATACACACACACAAACACACACACACACACATATATATATATAAGCCTATATACAGTATATATATATATATATACATACAGGTCCTTCTCAAAAAATTAGCATATTGTGATAAAGTTCATTATTTTCCATAATGTAATAAAAAAATTAAACTTTCATATATTTTAGATTCATTGCACACCAACTGAAATATTTCAGGTCTTTTATTGTTTTAATACTGATAATTTTGGCATACAGCTCATGAAAACCCAAAATTCCTGTCTAAAAAAATTAGCATATTTCATCCGACCAATAAAAGAAGTGTTTTTAATACAAAAAAAAAAGTCAACCTTCAAATAATTATGTTCAGTTATGCACTCAATAGTCAATACTTGGTCGGGAATCCTTTTGCAGAAATGACTGCTTCAATGCGGCGTGGCATGGAGGCAATCAGCCTGTGGCACTGCTGAGGTGTTATGGAGGCCCAGGATGCTTCGATAGCGGCCTTAAGCTCATCCAGAGTGTTGGGTCTTGCGTCTCTCAACTTTCTCTTCACAATATCCCACAGATTCTCTATGGGGTTCAGGTCAGGAGAGCTGGCAGGCCAATTGAGCACAGTAATACCATGGTCAGTAAACCATTTACCAGTGGTTTTGGCACTGTGAGCAGGTGCCAGGTCGTGCTGAAAAATGAAATCTTCATCTCCATAAAGCTTTTCAGCAGACGGAAGCATGAAGTGCTCCAAAATCTCCTGATAGCTAGCTGCATTGACCCTGCCCTTGATTAAACACAGTGCACCAACACCAGCAGCTGACATGGCACCCCAGACCATCACTGACTGTGGGTACTTGACACTGGACTTCAGGCATTTTGGCATTTCCTTCTCCCCAGTCTTCCTCCAGACTCTGGCACCTTGATTTCCGAATGACATGCAAAACTGAGCAACAGTCCAGTGCTGCTTCTCTGTAGCCCAGGTCAGGCGCTTCTGCCACTGTTTCTGGTTCAAAAGTGTCTTGACCTGGGGAATGCGGCACCTGTAGCCCATGTCCTGCACACGCCTGTGCACGGTGGCTCTGGATGTTTCTACTCCAGACTCAGTCCACTGCTTCCGCAGGTCCCCCAAGGTCTGGAATAGGTCCTTCTCCACAATCTTCCTCAGGGTCCGGTCACCTCTTCTCGTTGTGCAGCGTTTTTTGCCACACTTTTTCCTTCCCACAGACTTCCCACTGAGGTGCCTTGATACAGCACTCTGGGAACAGCCTATTTGTTCAGAAATTTCTTTCTGTCTTACCCTCTTGCTTGAGGGTGTCCAAGGGCGCAACTACCCCGTGTCAGAGGGGTATGCAGCAACAATTTTTGCGCCCCTGACCCCTGATAAAGGAAACTTTCATAATTAGTTTTGTACTAATTTCTATACTTGAAAGATATAAGCACATGATGAAAAAAATGATGTGTCAGAAAAAAAAAACGAACACTGACTTTTTTTGACCAACGCATTACACCGGCACTAACCCAGCGCCGCCAATTAAGCAAAAAAAAAAAAAAACCCGAATGGGCCGCCGATGTACGAGTTTTATGGGCCGTTAAGACAAAAAAAAAGTATGAGATGTATCGGCCGAAAAAGCACGTCGGCCCACCGGGAATCTCCCGGTAGTCCCGATGGCCACAGAGATATAGATAGCCTACATGCCTGGATGTCATGTCACACTTTAAATCATAACCTGGTGGCTTTCAGCATGCACTTATTTAGCTGCTGTCGCATCAGTTGACATGCCATGTCCTTTTCCCGCTTTCTTTTTCTATTTTTAGCCCCACAGAATTTTGTTTTATCCATCTTTTTCGACGACAACTCACTACTCGTACCTGCTCGCTCAGCGCTCACGGCGCCCCCGCCCGCTCGCGATATCATCCCGCCCCCCTTCTCCATGAGGGCGCCTACTCTAGCCTGTTAGTCCTCTAAAATTTTATATAACAAGAAATGCAGAAATTATTTAAAGAACGCACAACAGCAGTACAATATATATATATATATTTTTTTTTTAATGAAATTTTAATTATTATTTTTTTTTTTTACCATCGCTTTGGCGCCCCCCATGGTGCTGCGCCCCTATGCGCCGCATATAGCGCATACCCACTTTTTGCGCCACTGCGGGTGTCAATGATGGCCTTCTGGACAGCAGTCAGGTCGCCAGTCTTACCCATGATTGCGGTTTTGAGTAATGAAACAGGCTGGGAGTTTTTAAAAGCCTCAGGAATCTTTTGCAGGTGTTTAGAGTTAATTAGTTGATTCAGATGATTAGGTCAATAGCTTGTTTAGAGACCCTTTTCATGATATGCTAATTTTTTTAGACAGGAATTTTGGGTTTTCATGAGCTGTATGCCAAAATCATCAGTATTAAAACAATAAAAGACCTGAAATATTTCAGTTGGTGTGCAATGAATCTAAAATATATGAAAGTTTAATTTTTATCATTACATTATGGAAAATAATGAACTTTATCACAATATGCTAATTTTTTGAGAAGGACCTGTAGACTGTACACTCACCTAAAGGATTATTAGGAACACCTGTTCAATTTCTCATTATTACAATTATCTAATCAACCAATCACATGGCAGTTGCTTCAATGCATTTAGGGGTGTTGTCCTGGTCAAGACAATCTCCTGAACTCCAAACTGAATGTCAGAATGGGAAAGAAAGGTGATTTAAGCAATTTTGAGCGTGGCATGGTTGTTGGTGCCAGACGGGCCGGTCTGAGTATTTCGTAATCTGCTCAGTTACTGGGATTTTCACGCACAACCATTTCTAGGGTTTACAAAGAATGGTGTGAAAGCATTTGTGAAGCCACAACACGCAAAACCTTGAGGCGGATGGGCTACAACAGCAGAAGACCCCACCGGGTACCACTCATCTCCACTACAAATAGGAAAAAGAGGCTACAATTGGCAAGAGCTCACCAAAATTGAACAGTTGAAGACTGGAAAAATGTTGCCTGGTCTGATGAGTCTCGATTTCTGTTGAGACATTCAGATGGTAGAGTCAGAATTTGGTGTAAACAGAATGAGAACATGGATCCGTCATGCCTTGTTACCACTGTGCAGGCTGGTGGTGGTGGTGTAATGGTGTGGGGGATGTTTTCTTGGCACACTTTAGGCCCCTTAGTGCCAATTGGGCATCGTTTAAATGCCACGGCCTACCTGAGCATTGTTTCTGACCATGTCCATCCCTTTATGGCCACCATGTACCCATCCTCTGATGGCTACTTCCAGCAGGATAATGAACCATGTCACAAAGCTCGAATCATTTCAAATTGGTTTCTTGAACATGAAAATGAGTTCACTGTACTAAAATGGCCCCCACAGTCACCAGATCTCAACCCAATAGAGCATCTTTGGGATGTGGTGGAACGGGAGCTTCGTGCCCTGGATGTGCATCCCACAAATCTCCATCAACTGTAAGATGCTATCATATCAATATGGGCCAACATTTCTAAAGAATGCTTTCAGCACCTTGTTGAATCAATGCCACGTAGAATTAAGGCAGTTCTGAAGGCGAGAGGGGGTCAAACACAGGATTAGTCTGGTGTTCCTAATAATCCTTCAGGTGAGTGCATATATATATATATATATATATATATATATATACATACACCCACACCCACACCGTGTGTGCGGTGTGGGTGTGTGTGTGCGGTACCTGGTCCATCAGGGTGTGTGTGTGTGGTACCTGGTCCGTCAGGGTGTGTGTGTGTGGTACCTGGTCCGTCAGGGTGTGTGTGTGTGTGGTACCTGGTCCGTCAGGGTGTGTGTGAGTGTGGGTGGTACCTGGTCCGTCAGGGTGTGTGTGTGCGGTACCTGGTCCGTCAGGGTGTGTGTGTGTGTGTGTGTGTGGGTGGTACCTGGTCCGTCAGGGTGTGTGTGTGTGTGGTACCTGGTCCGTCAGGGTGTGTGTGAGTGTGGGTGGTACCTGGTCCGTCAGGGTGTGTGTGTGTGTGGTACCTGGTCCGTCAGGGTGTGTGTGAGTGTGGGTGGTACCTGGTCCGTCAGGGTGTGTGTGTGTGTGGTACCTGGTCCGTCAGGGTGTGTGTGAGTGTGGGTGGTACCTGGTCCGTCAGGGTGTGTGTGTGTGTGGTACCTGGTCCGTCAGGGTGTGTGTGTGCGTTGAGAAGCTCCAGGCCGACACACGCAGACAGCAAGCGTTCAGTGCCGTCCTCACTGGTGTTCAGAGCCTCACACAGCTGAGACACAGACATCGCAGACTCGTTCAGAAGCTCAAACACTCCCAGCTCACAGGCAGAGAACAGCGTCTGACGACACACACACACACACACACACACACACACACACACACACACACACACACACACACACACACACACACACACACACACACACACCATCAACACTGCAGGAAACCTCAGCACAAACACTCTTAAATCAAGGAGACGCTAAATGACTGAAGTAGGGCACAATACAGGTGAAACTTGAAAAATTAGAATATCGTGCAAAAGTTCACTTATTTCAGTAATTCAACTTAAAAGGTGAAACTAATATATTATATAGACTCATTACATGCAAAGTGAGATATTTCAAGCCTTTATTTGTTATAATTTTGATGATTATGGCTTACAGCTTATGAAAACCCCAAATTCAAAATTAGAATATTGTGAAAAGGTTTTCATATCTGTAAGCCATAATCATCAAAAATATAACAAATAAAGGCTTGAAATATCTCACTTTGCATGTAATGAGTCTATATAATATATTAGTTTCAGCTTTTAAGTTGAATTACTGAAATAAATGAACTTGTCTTTAACTAATCAACACACCAGTCAACACTGCAGGAAACCTCAGCACAAACATCGAAACACTCTTATCAAGGAGACGCTAGATGACTGAAGATATGAAGTCTTGGTTTAAATGTATTAATATGAGTTTATTCTTGAAACAAGACACAATATCTGCCAGTGGGGTCAGAAAAAAATCTTCTTTTCCCTTTGAAATAAGTTTTTTTTGAGTCAGATATTTATTCTCATGTTCCTCAGAATCACTGAACTCTCTCATCTGAAACTGCTTTAAATATAATTGTTCTAATTGTATAATAACAGTATGTACATTAGCAGTCAAAAGATTGAAAGTCTCTCCTGCTCAACAAAGGCTGCATTTATTGCATCAAAAGTACAGTAAAATGTGTGAATATTATTATTATTTAAAATAGCTGTATTCTATGTGAATATACAGTAAAGTGTAATTTATTCCTGTGATCAAAGCTGAATTTTCAGCATCATTACTCCAGTCTTCAGTGTCACATGATCCTTCAGAAATCACTCTAATATGAGAATCTGATGATCAAGACACATTTATGATTATTATCAGTGTTGAAAATAGTTTCATGTTTTTGTGGAAACCGTCATTTAATTTTCAGGATTCTTTGATGAAAAGAAAGTCCAAAAGAACAGCATTTATTTGAAATGGAATCTTTTGTGACATTATAAATGTCTTTACTGTCACTTTTCAATTATTATTTAATAATAATAATAAAGTTTGAACGGTACTGTATCACAGTTTCCACAAAAATCTGAAGCAGCACAACTGTTTTCAACACTGATAATAATCATAAATGTTTCTTGAGCATCAGATCCTCATATTAGAGTGATTTCTGAAGGATCATGTGACACTGAAGACTGGAGTAATGATGCTGAAAATACAGCTTTGATCACTGGAATAAATTACACTTTAGGCTATATTCACAGAAAACAGCTGATTTATACATTGCAATTATCTTTCACAATTTTCACAGTATTTTTTATCCAAAAAAAAAAAAAACATCCTTGGAGAGCATATGAGACTCTTTCAATTTTTTTAATTTTTCCAAACTTTTGACCGGTAGTTTAGATCAACTCACGGCTGTCAATGTAAGTTTTACACTGTAAGACATGTTACGATCTCAATGAAAGTTGCTTTGGACAGAAATGTTGACATCAGCCTTTACCTTCGACACCAGGAATCCCTCCATGTACTCCAGGATCTTCCTCGGATACAGCTCTGGGTCAGTAGTGGCCATGTTCATCAGCGTTTGCTCCGGTGTGTGTGAGAAACACTGAGCGCACGGCTTTACACAGAGACATAATCAGATTAGACGGATTATACACGTCCAGATTGAATGGACACAGAGAAGGGCTTTTAATTCAGACCTCAACATTTATTACTCTGAAAGCAATTAAAGCTGCTTATTCGTTAAACAACAGGATCATCCAGAACTCAGAAAGAAAAAACATCTACATAGTACAGTCAACATGAAGACTGATGTTGTTTCTAACACAATAACACTGCAAAAAATACGGTCTTCCTCAGTGTTTCTGTCTTGTTTTCCAGTACAAACATAGATCAAGATACTTTTACTAGAGAAGCAAAATGAATGAAGATATTAAGTCTTGTTTTCTGAAAAAATTATCAAAATAAAAAGAGTTTATGCTTGAAAATCTCCCAGTGGGGTCAGAAAAATACACTTGATTCAAAGGGAAAACAAGATTATTTTTCTGATCCCATGGCAGATATTTGTTCATGTTTTCAGCACAAACTTGCTTAATTTTAGCTAACTTTTCAGAGAATAAGACTTGAGAATGTTTAGATATTTGTACTGGAAAACAAGACGAACATATTTTTTTGCTGTAAAAATATATATTTTTTTAACACATTAAGTAGCTCTCTAGAATATTGTGGCACTTTGCAGTCAAAAGTGTATAAAATAAAAGTTGAAGGGCTGGTATAATGCAATTATAATACAATAATTTGAATACAATAATTGATAAATGATAAAAATGTGTGTTTGTGAGGCCTGATCTCATGAAAGTGCATAAAGCACAAATTTAATTTCTCGTACCATTTATAGCCAACACCAAAAGTAGTTTTTGCGTACATATTATACGCAGTTTACGCGTGCATTTGATACGCATAATGGCGTGTAAAACACACGCGCTCCACACCCCAAGGGGTTTACAGTGCGTATAATTCGCAGGCAAAAACTATTTTTGGCGTATAAATAGTACCAGAAATTTAATTCGTGCTATAGATACGCACTTTCATGAGGTGTGTGTGTGTGTGTGTGTGTGTGTGTGTGTGTTTCACTCACTTTCCTGACAAGCGTGGCTGTTGTGCCGTGAGCAGAGAGCTGTATATCTCAGCAGGGACTTTTCCAGTAGTATTGTATTCAGTAGATGATCTCTACATGTCTGTTTCCATCCAGACCCTCTGCCTGAGATACTTAAGCGTTTTAATATTGACGCTTCACCTCAGCATTTGCCTGTGCCCATATTGGTGTTGTCTTCACATTTGCCCCACAGAACGTCTGTGAACGTGAGCAAACATGAAGTGATCTGATGGTGAGGGTGAAAACGTCCTCCTAGCTGTCAGTGACTTCATCAGCTGTAGTGGATTTGAGTTTCTCATGATCTAATAGCAGCTGTAAGGACTAATGCGGTGTTGGAACAAAGTAAGCATTTAGAGCGTGACAGCAGTGTCGTAATCCGTAGCTTTTATATATGAATTATATGAAGATATCAGAGAACACTTGTATACACACAGTTATAGCAGGCGATCTGTTCCTGCTCCATAAAGCCATAAGAGAAACTCTGAAATCAGTCTGAGAGGAGAAACAATTGAGACATAAGAAATGGACAACAAACGTCCTGAAGAGAGACAGTCATGACAAGATCAAACTATTGCTTTACGACACTTCTAACATGTCATGGGTCAGTTCATTTCTGTTGAAAATTATGTCATTGGTCGAATTCAGTTTGAAATAATGAGCTAAAAATAGTTTTAGATTCACTGTAAAAAAAGGTTTCTGCCTTAAATTAAGTACAATCAACTTGGAAGTCGTTTAACTTAAATTACATTAAACCTACTTAAAAATGAGTTGAAAATGGTTTCGCTTATTTTGATGAGTTAAAGCAATGTAAAAACATATGTGGTTCATTTTTGTGGACTGGAACCACTGAAGACGTTTCGTGGTCGAAAGAAAATCCCCCAACATGTAATGTAACACTTAAAGATGTGCAGTTATTTTAGATGTTGGTGGAGTTTGACTTCATTTCACTACAGAGCAGCTTCACATCAGCTCATCTGTCATTTTATTCCTGAAGCCGTTTTGAAGAGTTTGTCTTTTCATTTGTGACTGAAAGTGTTGAAGATGTTTCGCACTGTTTTCTTCTGTCTGTGTTTCTGGCGTCTGGATGGTGAGTTTTAAATCTGTTTTTATGGCTTCAGTTGTTTCTCTTCTGGTACCATGTAATAAATGACTGGTTCAATAAGTCAGAGAGGATTAACATTCACTGTTACAGGACAGCACTGATAGGGGAGCATTCAAACTCTAAGGGCAAACGCAAACTTACAGAAAAATCAACACTCAGGAGGTGACAAACTTATTTATATACAATGTTTATACAAGAAAATCCCATAACATGTAATGTAATCCTGGAAACAATTGCTATACACTGCACAACAACATTTACAGCGGGTGCATACAGGTGTATCCATATATAATAAAAAAATAAGTAAAACTTAGAGTCGGTAGAGTTGAAGGCATCAGTATTTCGCTGAATCGAATTTCTGCAGTTCTTTCCACTCATTTGTACATTTATTTTTCAAAAGCAAGTTTTTTCAAGTGGTATTAACAGTGTATTCACGATCAACGAGCTCCGTTCCTGTCAGGTCCAACAGTGGTTTTATTTTGGTTTTGTCCAGAAAACACTTGCATGAGTTTATTGTTATTCACCAAACCGTTCAGCCATTTCTCCACTCACAGCATTAACTTTATTAACATAAAGATGATGAAGTCTCGTCTCTGTGTTCATGTTGTCCTATGGTTCCCTCAACAGAGTAATGCTACAAGTTCTCACTCGTTGTGCGTCGTCTTTTGTTTGGTTTGATTTCGGTTCGGACCGGATCACAGCTAATTCTCCAAAGCTCACTGAACTCTTCCTCTGATTAAATACAGCTGCAGTCTCTACCTCACTCATTGTTGTTTCCAGATATATTTTACTCAATTGGCCAAAACCAGAGAGATCGTGATCTTCAGGAGTGGAGGAAGTGATAGTAAAGCACTTCTTCAACCTCTCATCCGCCTCCAGCTCAGACTACAGATAAAGACTGCTTAAATCAGGTCTCTTATGGGTTCCCGATACACAGTAAATGCGTCTAAACTATAATCAGGCTCTGTGAGATACTCTCTCCCGGTCTCGGCAGGGTCAGCTGGCATTTAGAAATGTTATGAGGAAGTATCAACAAAAGAACGAGTACACATTCAACAAATTGACTAGCAGGGGAAAAAGCACCATATGCAAACCTCCAGCAAGTACACATAGCATTTACTCAACATCATTTGGATGGTTTTTGTTCTTCAGTTTGAAGAAAAACAACAAAAATGTGGGATACCATCCATTGAGCTTTTGATACCAATATAGTCAAGTCAAGTCATCTTCATTTATATAGCGCTTTTAACAATGTAGATTATTCCAAAGTAGCTTTACAGTGATAATAATTTGAATATGTGGACATACAACAGGACTTTTCCATATTCAACAATAAGTTGTTATTATGAAGCCATTTTTGACTCATAATAAAGTCATATTGTAACCGGTTCTAGATACAGTGAATATCAGAGTCAGCAGTGTAAATTACGGTATCATCAGCATAAAGATGAATCTTACCGATGGAGCAAATGTGCGATAAATCGTTAATGAAAATCGAAAAAAAAGAGGTCCTAGAGTGGAACCTTGAGGAACCCCCTTATCAACCAATAAATCATAATCAGACAGTGAACCTTAAAAAGCAACACGCTGCCGTCTATTGTGAAGATAAGAATTAAACCATAATAGAGCACTTTGATTCAAACCTGTTGCATAAAGCTTGTCAAGGAGAATGTAATGATCCACCATATCAAAGGCTTTAGAAAGGTCAATAAAAATAGCACCAGTTAGCTGTCCCTTATCAAAGGCGGAGGAAATGTCATTGGTGAACTTCAATAAAGCTGTGGTGGTTGATGAATTAGGCCTAAAGTCAGACTCATATGGGGATAATATGTTATTCTGAATAATGAATTTTGATAATTGATTCAAAATAATTTTCTCAAATAATTTGGCAGTGGTACAGATAATAGAGATATCGCGATAATTATTCATAATAGAAGCATCACCAGTTTTGAAGAGAGGGGTAACATTTCCATGTAGCGGGAACGGTGAAAGTAGTCAAAGACAGATTTAATAGGTGGAAATATCAATACATGAGCAGCAAGGTTAATATATCTAGCATCAAGCCCATCCAGACCAGCACTACTGTAGTCCTTTAGATCACCTATAGCATTAAACACATCAATGGGCATGCTTTTATTAAATTTGAATGAACCAGAGGTAAAAGACAAGGTTGAGAAATGATCATTAGCATAAGAACAAACATGTTTTGAGTCACCAATAGCGATAAAATGCTGATTGAAAGCATGCATGAGCAATAAGAGGAGGATCAGAAATTGTACCATTGTTCATTTTTAGTTGATTTACAGGAGTTTTACTATTCCTATTGAGGAACCCGATTCAAATGATTCCAGAACTATCTAGGATTTTTACAATCATTAAGAAAGCAGTCTCTATAGTAACTGGATTATGCATTTCGGGTTTGAGTCTTGCTCTGATTCCTAAGAGATCTATAATGATCCTAGTCAGAGGCAGATTTAGTACGGCGATATTTGGCCCATGCCTTATCTCTTTGCTTAAAATGATTGATTAGATGAGAGCTGATCCAGGGTAAGTGCTTCCCTTTAACTCTAATAGTTCTAAACGAAAAATGCTGATCAATTACATTGATGAGTTCAGAGTGAAAAAAGCCCCATGCATCTTCCACAAACGGAATTAGCTGGAACCTGTCCCAATTATTAGAGTTTAAATCCTGTATAAAATAATCACCATTAATATTTTTTTACATTGGCATATTTTAATATATTTAGGAGGGAAATGCTACAGTTAAATTTTCCAAACACAATAAATGACAAAGTGATCACTAAAACAATCAGATAAGACACCAGATTTAAATATCCTTTCATAGTCAGTGTTGAC